GTGGAAATTTAAATTCTTTTAAATATTGTTGATAAAATGTTTTCATTTCAGTTAACGATATTTGATTATTATTATCATAATCAAATAGTTTAAATAAAATTAAGGCTTTTACAGACATGGTACCAACACATAATAGACGAGCAATTCTTAATACACTTGTACCATCAATCGAATTTTTATTGTAAGCTGTTTCTTGTTCAACAATTTTTAATAATCGTTCACCTTTTAAAAAAACGGAAATATTAGTTGAAGATAATGAGGAATTGTTAAAATAAAAGCATATCGCCGCAGAGCTTGGGTCTGAAGTGTAGTGTATTCATTCAAACGTGAAGGACTAAGATGGGGCTGTTTGAGAACCATGCTTCGAGTGTGTACATTTATACTAATTTGTTTTAATTGGATTAAGATGTGTGCTTGGGAGTGCGCTAGTGTATACACAGTCATCGTTCCACTTGCAATATAAAAACTCATTGCAGAAGACATCAACAAAAATAAAATAAAGCATCAAATGAAAACAAAGCGTATGAGAAAACAGTATCCCCTGGAAATTCTAAGTCTAAAAGCAAATGAAATGTGGCGCTTTTAAACCTATTCATTTATTTTAATTTTTCCCATCATTTTTTTATCCGCCAATGATTTTTTTATCATTGCAGTATGTATTCCATACTCAACAATGTCATAAGACATTTAACTGAACGCCATCGATTCATATACATTTACTCGCTCAAATTTGTCCCTATTAGCTTGCCGGCGTTAGTTTGTCCGCGTTAGCTTATACGTGTATACAATGTATATTCAGTATTGCCCGCGTACTTTCACAGGCGTTAGGAAGAGGGGGTATGGGATGAATAAAATTTCAGATTTTCAGCATAATCCCTCTGTACAAATTTTCACTGCTTGTTCTTCCTCTTTCTGAGGAATTCAGGAGAGAAGCCACACGAAACAAATACATACCTAATACCGGTGTTATTTGAAATAAACGACAAAATTGTGTAACGTCAAATTGTTTCATTGAAATATCTTCATTAAAATAATTTTTAAAAAAGTTTAAAGTTTGATCCGTTAATGGATCAGTCAATAATTCACGAAATTTCAATTCAGCAATTCGTCGTTGAGACAAATCATCAGTTAAACTACCTCGTCGACTTTTAGATGATACGAGTGTTCGTAATGCATGTACTCTAATAAAAATGAAACAAAGAATAAAGAAGATTTTTTTTCTATACTTGTAGCAAACATACATTGATGTTCGACTTAGACCAGATCCTGACACTGCATATTGTGATTCAAGAGAGACTTGCGGAGAAGTCTGATTTGATTTATTGACTAAATTTGGAATAATTGTTTCAACAGAAGGAGATTGCGTTGAATAAACATTTGGTTGAAGTTCATTTTCATTTGTTGGATGAGTTTTTGATGATGAAAGATCAATGATAGATACGGATAACCTGATATAACATACAAATGATATGAGAAATATTTATATCGTATCTTTGATTAATGGAAGGACTTTTTAAGAATTTATATAACATAGAATTTTATATATTCATAGCCAATGCACCGTCAACCCACGTATGAGCGACCCCGACATTAGATACGTTTCAATATGACTTTTTTTCGATCAGGAAAATGGAATGATTCTTCACTACGATAACGATTAATAACGATGATGATAACAATTTCTTTATCAACCGATTATGACCAAAATTATTTGGACGAGAGCGGGGGTGAGGGTGAGCAGCTATAAGTGATGCTCTCTGTTCAATTATTTGGGCTTGCTCAAGTGTTGGGGCACTCAAGTATCGGTCGCTTAAACGTTGGTTAATCCTACATTGATGGGAAAATGAAATTTGAACATATTCTTTTTTACAGTGTATATAAATATATACATATTTTACAAGCTGTATAACGAAAGCCGCAATTCTTTTGGTAAATTCTCTACAGAATAGTTCATCGATGAATAAAACGAGGAAAATTCTAAGTGAAGATATATCCAAAAAAAATCGTCTGTTTCCTCAAATCTACGACGTAGTAAGTCGAGTAGCTAGATGACTAGTAGTTAATTATTGTAAGGAGAAGAATACAAATCCCATTCACTAATGAGTAAACCTGTTTCTCAAATACGGCATCATTCGATTAACTTGGATAACATGAACATATGGGTCAGATACAATAGACATAACCGATTATTAGTTCGTGAATGTTTTTGCTAATTCGTTCAATTTCATGGAACAAATAGATCTGTTCTATTATACGTTTTTCCGGAAGTACTTATAAATTAAAGAACATTTTGAAAGAAAAAGAAGAAACTAGACAGTTTTTGATTTTCTTTCCTTTTCTTCCGCCATTTTCTTGTTATATGTTGTACTCAAAATTTAAATTTGGCTAATGATTATCACCCAAACTTAAAACTTGACTGACGATGAACAGCCAAAAGTTAAATTAGGATTCGAATCTTATTATGGTCGACGAACGATCGTCCATGAATCTGGATGATGCATCATTATATTCCTTTAATTAGATGCATCTACTAGTGTATTTGTATCTGTTGTATCACCATATCTTTATACTTTCTTTATTTAACCTCATGAATGCCGTAGGGCATCTATAGATGACATGAAGGAAATTTTATATATTGCATATGCTTTTTCATTCTATCGATTTAATGAAACAAAACTGCCAGAGGACATCGTCGCGAAAACAGCAGAATGCAAAGAGAGATATTTAATCGTTTTTTATGTATGCCTTGGACACGTCAGAGGAAAAATAACGACATACAAGAGGTTAATAGACATGGTGACAAATGCAGCTGGCTCCACAGGAAAAAGAGAAAAGTTGAATCGCTCGATACAACCAGATGGGAACGCTGGACTGCTACATGCATTGCTCAAAAGACGAGGCAAGTTTCTGAAGAGTAAAAACTAACTGTGCATCTAGTGGAAGTTGATGCAACTAGCTTCATGAATCTAGCTGGATGTACTCATGCTGGTACTACATGCACAGCTAGTTTTTAGACTTCAGAAATTCACATCGTCTTTTGATCGTCGCATCTAGCAGTTCATCGTCGACAGTTAGATGCATCGACCGATGCTAGCTGTTTTCGTGCTTGCGTAGTTTGTCTATCGTGAACCTTTTTTGTGATTCACTGATCAAGAGAGGAATATAAAGTCTCAAGCTATTGCTAAATGACTAGCATAATTATAGAGATTAATTAAAAACAAATAAAAGTTTCGGTTTTATTCAGTCAAAGGTAATGCAGTTATTGCTGAGAACATATTCGATAATATACTTATTCTTGGATAGTTATAAGAAAAAACAGCGAATACACTAATAAAACTGTACTGGCTCATGAATTTGTCTTTTTTTTCTACTATGAATGAACTTTATTTTAACATGAGTATAGTACCTACAGAAAAAGCATCTCTTATCAAAATATAACATCCTCTACTTCTTTTTCAAGCCTTTTGAAAAAAATATTCGCTTTTTCTTTCTTTTCGTTCAGCTTCACTGTTTGTTTACGTAAAAAGAGAGCAAATGGGTATAAAATTATTTTTTCTTGTACAACCGAAAAGGGACGGCAAAAATGAAACATTACAAAGTGCACGGTTTTTATCAGATTATAACAGAGACTTTATATGTGTATTGTAAAACTCATAGAATTATGGTAGTTTCGATCAAAATCCATGAATTCTCACAGTGATCACAGAAAGATGACAAAATCAATCTGAGTCTGTCTGAAAGCAAAGTTATACCTTGTGTTTGATGCCATTGTATAAATATTAATTTTAATAATTCCAATGATGAAACAAGAACGTTTTATAAGTATATGTTAATGAAAAAATAATTATCATTTCATGTTTTTAAATAATTGTACAGTTATTATATAGAAATAAAATAACTTCTTAAATATTTCTTCACTTCGGACACTGCCTACATTCTTTTATTTCTCAGAAAAGAATATCAGTCTTGTTTACACTAATGACAATGTATGGATAAATGTTTTCGTGGGAGAGACAGGAATATAACATGGGCAACAGCGTGACTACGTTGCTAAAAGGTAATAAATCATGATTTAAGTTAATATTAGAGCATAATGGTGTGTTTACATTATGATGTATTATGCTTACAATTTTCTTTAATAAAAAAAGTCATGAGGAATACGTACAACTTTTCGTCACTTGAATTTATTCAATACAGAACAAAATTCTAAATACACATAAATTATTATTAGGTAAGTTTCAGAGCAACAATAATACAATTGATCCTGTTATTCAGACTTTATCGCTAGCCATGTTGTTAAAATCGCTCCATTCTGAACGATTACTTGCGATTAGCAATAAAATCGTCAATTATTCGCAATTCTGACTATAATCGATATATCGCTTTTTAGCAACTGGCGACTAATCGGCTTGCATGAAAAATCACCAGTTGTTAAAAATCATCGATATATCGCCATTCTTAAAGATCCTGGTGATTTGTCTGTTTTTTTAATAATGGTCGATTAATTGCGATTAATTGTTGATTTTAAGCTGTTAAGAAGTTTTTTGTTATTCACTGTTTTATTCTGCAGTAGAGTAAATATATAAGAAACATGATTTCAACAAGAAATGTTCTTCTTTCTAGATTATCTTTTTAGTTTAACTTAAAACGTAGTTGCCAAGAATGTCCTCTGTAGTTTCTTCAGGGCTGACTCATTGTTTCGATTTGAGTCAGCTTTGAACCGAGGAGCCCAGCTAATTGTTAAACTAAAAACTCGCCGATTAATCGCTAAAAAATCGTCGATTTATGGCCGATTTTGACTACATGAATACTATACAAGACACATCCAGACGTTCGGCCATAGATATATACGACAGTCGAAGTTAAGTAACAAGGAGTGAAAGTTTGTACAGAAAGAAGTTGTTGTAAATCTGAAAATATTACTCATGCCATACTGGACAAATTTCAAAAAGTAATGGTATATTAATCGATGGCGTTCAATTATACGTTTGAATGAAGGAGTTGCACTTCAAACCCAACGTCTACACTGATACGCTTTTTATAGCTAGTTGGAGACAGCTAAATTGGGTTGAATAACTAGCCCTAAGTTAGTTCCCAAAAGCTGTTTTCTATTTATTGGATGAATTAAAGCAAAAAAATCGTTGCATAATAATTATTTTGGTTTCGATAAGAAGTTGACGACAGGTGGATCCAATTGAGATATAGAAATAGGATCCTCTGGTGGTGTTCTCATTCAACGCATTCTTTCGACGATCTATCTACAGTAAGATGCACGTAATGCATACTTCAAGTGAAGTTTATTTTTGGCATTATTATACATCTTCAGATTCAGCATAACGAGCTGGTTACGAATAACGTCTTTCGAGCCTCCAAAAGCCATTTTTTCAATAAGATATAGAATAGCTTAAATACTCTACATTCTGTATTTAAAGCAAAAATTAAACAGTCCTCTTTGAATTTGAAACGTCGTACTACTCTCGAAAATGCGTTTTCAAGGGACAAATACAAGAAGCAGAAAAGTATTACTGTCTCGCAGGTCCGGATCTGCAAAAGGATTGTACTTTTCTGCTTTCTTACTATTCGTAGTAGATTTATAAGTTTCTTCAAGTGTCCTTGCCATTTAGGGTTACGATTTTAAAAATTCTGTTAAATGCTCGACTCCTAAAAAAAATGGATTTTCTTTGCAAAATCAACCATTTTGTCGCCTAATCAAGATCAGATTTCTTTCTTTAGTGTAAAGAAAAATAGATTCACAATATAGTGAAGTTTTCTAGTGGGTAATATGGAAAAGAGCCGGATTTCTCCTTTCTGTAGAGAATGAATAATAGAAACAGGTATTGAGCTCCTAGATGTATTCTTGTATCTATCCTTGTATCTCCTTGTATTTGATGTTAGGAACTAGCTTGATCGGTCGGTTAAGTAAGCGGCTGGAGCTAGCTCCATCGGTCGATTAAGTGGGCCGTTATTCGTCCCTTATAAGGTAGAACTTCTCTCTATGTGTGTTCCAATAGTTGGTGTTAGTTCTCAATGGATTTCCAGAACACACAATGGTTAACCTAATACTTTGTATAAATAATCTATAGAACCTGCAGAGTATTTGATGCAAGTTTTGAAGTGAAAATCATGTTTCTCGGCTGAGTTATGATTTTTTCTGGAGAACCTCGACTACTAGGAGCCAACGAACAAAACTCATATCGTCGGTAGTAGAGAGCAACCTCGTAATCCTAACTTCAAGTTAAATATGTTTCTGGCATTATTATACAAATGCAAATTCAGCTTAACGAGCTGATTAGGAATAACGCCTTCCGAGCCTCCAAAAGTCATTTCTTCATGGAGAAAAACTCAGATTACTGAGAGAACCTCAAAAATACCCCAAACCGTCCTCTATGATGAAATTGACTTTTTGAGCTTCTAT